TTACTCCTTTCGCTCCAAGTCACGAGAAAATGCAGGTGAGAAACTCCGGGTGATTTGACGGGCACGGAATCTACTCCGAACCATTGTGTTCGAGTTTCCGCCGTGTATAAGCTCTCCGAATCTGGAACCCATTTATCGTGTAACAAATGGTTTTTTTGTGACCGACAAAAACAAAAACAATTTTTAGATAAAGAGAAGTTCTTAGGTAAGAAAATCGGCGAAAAACAAAGCACCCATTTATCCGAAAATGCGAGATAAATGTCGCCCATTTCCGGGTCTCGAAGGAGAGCACTTTATCGCTGTAACAGCTTGCTTCGTGGAGAGGCGTGCGTGAAACTCGAATGAACACACGGGTGAGCAAGGTAAGATGGTTTGAGTAGTACATTCATACAGATGAGCCAAAAAACACTCACGGCCAAAGTAGTCGCGTTCGCAAAAGACTAAGCGTTAGACATACGAGGTCAATGGACTTCCTGTGTTTGATGTTTAGACATTACCATATATAAAAATGAGTCAGCTGGCAAAGTATAGGGAGTATTCACTGGACGCCATATTTGTGGGTGCTGTTTAGAGCGCAAGCTCAGAACGAGCTAACATCAATAGGTTGCTAAGACCGGCACTCTTGATGGTGCGGAATGCACGTTGCAAAAGAACTGTGGAAGCTCGCCGTCAGCACGCGCTCAGCATTCGCGCACACAGCTATGGCCGACAGTGAATACTCCCTATACTCCTGTGCTTATCGAGAGCTTTCAACGAAACGGTGAACAGAGGGTGCGCACGGATGGAAGTGCCCCAAAAGACCTCCGACGCAGTGTGAGCTTCAAAGTTATGAAGAAAAAAACTAAAATAGACGAACGTTTAGAATGCTCGTAGCGCACCGCAGCTCAAAGCACGTGGAGTAAAAGCTCGCCCGGCATAACCGAGGGATCCAGGGCTTAATTGCCACCTTATTTTGACCTGGATGAGCATCGGACCGGCGTGCGGTCGTGTGCCCGGGGTCTTTAGCAGGATGCATGCTAAAGACCCCGGGCTAGCAATAGTACTACACTGGTAACATTTCTTATCTACCGCGTGCAACAATATCGCCAAAACCTCTGGCTGACTAAGCTCACGCTGTCAAAACACTCGAGCCTAATTTTTCTTTCTTGGCTTAAAGAAATGTTATTTGGAGTATAACGGCATTTCTCCCAAAAACAGGAGTGCTCCATGAACAAAGATTTTACGACACGACTTCCTTCAAACAGCGAGAGAGGGCGAGATACAATAAGTAAATAAATCAGTATATTTAAAGTATTCGACAAACTGGAAGAAGTAAAAAAGAGTGCACATGAGGAAGCTGGGCACCGATATCCGACAGCAGAGACAACGACTCAAAACAGGTTTATTCTATCAACGACGGAACTGTGCCTCCGTTCGTCCAGGGCAAGAGCGACCGGACAACCGACGAATGTTTTTTGTTTCGGGCAATAATAAAACCCAGACAGGAACTACGAAGCATGAAAATGGGAAACCGAGATTACTGCGCTCGATCCTCGCCGACGATCAGGAATAACTATCGCGTCCATCGAACAACTGTCGTCGTCAGGATGGAACAAGTCATACTCGCGCGTGTTGATGGAGCACAGCCAACCCTTCTCCGCATCCGTCGGGAAATCGACCTGGAGAACTTTTCTCGTTACACGGCTGCTGGGGGGCTTCGTCCTAATCGGAATCAAGTTTTTGTTGTGGTTCACGCCCTAACAGGCGTCATCGTCTCGCTGCTTGGCAGATTGCGAGGCTCAGTCCCTCGCAGTTAGTTAAGAAGCAGTGGCTGTCCAGCGGAACCGTCGATTCTTGACAACTGGTAATCATCGACAGCGGCACTCCGAGGAGAAAGGGAAGAGGTGGAGGGGAGAGGGAGGGGGTGTCGGTCAGTTGCGGAGGATGGAGCTAGCCTTGCTGCGAGCACCCACCATTGGTACGCCTGTGGCGCCAATGAAGACTCGCTAAAGGCGGGTAAAGAGAGAAGAAAGAAAAAGGGAACGGGTAAAGAGTAACAGGGTCGAAGAGTGAAGGCAGCGTTTAATCACGCGGACCCATTGTGTCGGTGCGTCGTCCAGTCGAGCCCATGAACCCATTTACGTCATTTTCAACGCAATAATTTGGTGTACAGGGTGCAAGAGAAAGCGGTTGCGCAATGGCAATTTGACCCCAACGCCTCTGCAGGAAATGGTTGAATCGGTGTCCAAAGATGGGCTGCTGTTTCTTGTTGTGTCACGAGAAAAACAAAATAGAGGTTAGAATAAATTGAGTCACTGTTTATTGCGTTTCACGTTCCTCTCCGCGTTCTATGTTATACTTTGTCTCACCCTACGATGGACTAAAGGCAGAAGCTACGGACCGCCAGATCCAATCACGAGCCACTTACAAGTTGCGTGGTATTTCGCTTCGATGCGCGTATCGGCAACCGCGTCTCGAATCACAAATGGGGAGGGGCGGACGGTAGTTTGGATTGAATAGCACCTAGTGACTCCACAATTTTACATTGCAAATAAAGCTATGTCATACAGGCTCTTTGCAGTGTCGAAGCTATAAAAATGATGCAGCGCTTTTGGACTCGGAGGATCATTCGTCCACCCCTAACCAATGCTAAGCGTGTCATATTTTAGCTTGCAACGTGATTGGACCTTGCGGCCCGTGGCTTTGGCCTTTAGTCCATCGTAGGATGAGACGAAGTATAGATCTCCGCCTGTTCTGCTACATTTTCAACATTACTTGACTGAAGAAGCAGCCTTATAAAGGTTATTATAGGTTGTAATAGAAAAGTTGATTTTATTTAGAGCGGAGAAAGAGGGGGACCTGCAATCGCGCAGACTTTTTTTTTTCACCGCTCAGTTCGTTTTATGTATCAGTTCGGCTATTAAATCCGCTGGCCCCGTGAAAAATGCCCTGCAAATAGTGATACTGGAGCGGGAGTCAGCAAGTTTCGAAGCATCGCCGGAAACTCGTCTTTTTTTGTTGTTTTTTTATTAAAAATATACAAATAAAGAAATAGGTCAAATCTTCTTGGAAGCGCATTATTCCTCGAACTCCAGGTTTCTCACTGCCACAAGGCCTCAAACTCTCAGTAATCTTTTTAATCAAAAATACTGTGAACATTCCACGATCCAATATTTGTTTTTCATGTGCGGTGTGTGTGCTTCAAATTTACATTAGACTAGTGAACGCGGTCACTTACAGCACGCTCAGTTTATCAATAAAACAATAATTGTACGTTGAGTGTTTAGACAGTGAGAAGCCGGTCTGCCTTAAACATATTGTGACACTGGTTCACGCTGTAGGTGAGCGATTTAGCCATTGCATCTCGAGTGTTGACTTGACTTCTTTAACGTGCACCGCGGAGTAGCCATTACACGAAAGCACGCCGGTGCGAAGTCCATTCATATGGGAACGGAAAACAGAAAGAGAATTGGGGAGCAATTAAGCTCGAAATTCTGTTTTTCTGCGCAAGCTTTCACTTCACGTGCTACAAATCGTGGTGCGGAAACACACTCTGCCACCGATGTATAAAAGAAACTCCAAAACTGCTCGAAATCAACCAAAAAGAAACAAGAAACAAACACGCTGACCGACGCCGCGGATACCAATATTCGTGACGGAGGAAGAAAGCTCTGCAACTTGCATACCGCACCAACAGCCGACCCTAAAATATACAGATACATTTTGACACTCCCCTTCCCCCTCTCCGCACCCCAAGTCATGAACATCTCAGTCACCTCAGCGCCCCACCCCGAATGAAATTCCTGGCTACGCCACTGTACCGCACAGTAATGTTTTTGACCAACCACCATTCTTTTATTCAGAGAGGTTTTCAAATTCCCACCTCACTTCGGGTTTGTTCAAAATTATGTTTCCATTCTGAACGCCGGGGTCCAAGAAAAATCCTGTTCTTCAAATTGCACGTTCAGTTACTATTTATGAGCGGCTTTACCTGTATCGTTAAACCAAGACAATTCAAGAGAAGACGCGACGGAGACGGCTGTTCTGCAAGAAATGTGGCGCAGAGCACCTTTCTGCTTCTGATGTCGGCGATCTATTACATTAGCTGTGTTGCGTTTTAAGAGGAAGAGAAACGAACCCTTCCTCACAAGTCGGCATGACTTTCTTCTTTCCCGTACGGCCTCTTTTCAATTATGTACTGCAGGCCGTCTAATGTGTGCACAAGTGCACCGCTGTTTTGGACTCCATCGACGCAGAAACTCAGAGACGACAAGCAACCACTACGTTATGCAGCTTGCGCATTGACCGTCCTAGATATGTCTGCATGCGGAGACTCTGGAACTCAACCCGTTCTGCTTGCGAGAAGCTGAGGAATAGCGAACGGTGTCCATGGAATTCTTGAGTGTCGAATAGAACGCGAGACCCGGTCACACAAGAGACACTGGCAAAGAATATCGAGAGCTGATTCACCGCAGTAACCCTGACAAAATAACGAGGCCCATGTTGAGCAGGGCTGTCGCGGGTAAGCCCACATCAAGAAAGCCCTGAAAGGGAGAAAATCAAGGCGTTCTCCGAAGTAACGCCCAGAAACAAACAGACAGAAAACGCTCGCGTGATTGTGCGACGGAATTTTGGCTTCTGCCCTTGTTTTGTACTTTATAGTTGACCGTGTTTCTTGCGCCGTGCGTGGGGCTGGGGGTGCAAACGATATAAACGGCCGGGATACATTTTTGTTTTTATTTGTCGTCTCCTTGCCACTTCCGTCTTTCTGAGGGGGTGCGTGGACCATGCGAGGAGGGAACGCGCCCTGGTGTTTCGAGAGGCGTGAACGAATGTTTCTCGCCCCTTTTCCTCCCTTTTGATTTCCATCACACATCCCACCTTAGTTTTTGTTACTACCAGTTTATAACAGATTGGGTCACCAAGGCGTTCTCGGTTCGGGGTCGTTCAAATAGTATAAAAGTCGGACCCTCTGTTTCGTCGGACATCAGTCTTCTCTCGGAACGAGGAATACCGGCACCATGAACACCCTCGTAAGTCCCAACTGCTCCGACGACCTTTCCCCGGCCACCGTTCCCGGCGTGGTCCCCGTTTCTGGCTCAGCGTCTATCTGGATACGCGTCTATACGTTTAATCGAGCGGTTTCTAAACAGCCCGCGCCCGAGCTCCTCTGCGAGCCTCCTTGACTTGCGTGAAGCAGGCTTCACGACCACGAGTCAACAAGGTTCACAGAAGATGTTCTTTGTGTGGATTAGGCGATTCAGCGGTCGACAGTGCTCAAGGCACTGAAAACACCTTCGCAGATATGCGAAGGTGTTTTCTATGTCTTAGAACTCAGCTTGAATAATTTGACACCACAGTGTCGAAAAAATACTTTTTTATTCGGGTTTCCTCAGTGTCTATTATATGCTTCCAAGCGTCACAAATGTACATATTGTTAAGGCACTCTGTGTACCAGTGCTTATGATGGTTTCGCCATAAAAGTGTCTATATTTTAGCTCAATCATACTGCATATATCTATCACAAAAACATTTTAAATATACATATATTTGCCTTTTGAAGCAACCCGAGAGTGAGGAAATACGAAAGTTGACACCGAGAGGAGAGAAGGAGAACACTAATAGCATATTGCCACTTTTCAAAATGTTCAGTATACACCAGCTCACTTGAACCCGTACGTTCTGTTAAAATATTAGCAACTGCTAATTATGGACATAAAAGAAAAACAAACATATATCATCTGTCATAAGGTTGACTAGCTCCATCTCTGAAAGAAGTCGAATATCAGAATGAATATGAGACCGTAAAAGCAAACCAAAGAACTACGCAATGAATAGTTGTAAATAGACTGCCGGAGTGTCCAGCCTTCATTTGGTTTACCATTGTGCCAGGGAACAAAGACAGGAGGTAGCCAATGATCGAAGACTGCGAGCACTCCCTCAAATGATAATAGTACACTGCCACCTTTGAGATCGGTCGGATTAATTATCACTTAAAACACACCACACCGCTATAATCTTTCTGAGAGCAGGACAGCGTGAAGCGGATTGAGAGAGAGGGGAAAAAGAAAGCAGATGGACGTTCGCCTCGGCTATTTGGTTTTGCATATCGCCGGAACTCCCGTCGGTGTCCTCACCGAATCCATTGCATGTTTGCAGGTCGTCTTCGCTGCTGTGATTGCGTGCGCCTACGCCGGCGGTTATGGCGGCTTCGGCTACGGCGGTGGCGTCGGCCTCGTCGGCGGCTTCGGCCACGGCGGCTACGGTGGTGGCTACGGCCACGGTCACGGCCACGCCCACGCTGTGGCTGTCCCTGTCAAGACCGTCTCCTACGTGAAGAGGCCCGTCGTCAACGTGGGATACGTCACCCGCCCCGTCGTGAGCTACGTCAAGCAGCCCGTGGCCACCGTCTCCCACACCGTCCAGCCCGTTGTCTCCGTCAGCCACGCCGTCGTCGGCGTCGGCCACGGTGGATACGGTGGCGGATATGGCGGCGGATACGGCGGCGGATACGGCGGCGCTCTCGTCGGAGGCTACGGTGGCGGACTCGTCGCCGGTGGTCTCGTCGGCGGCTATGGTGGCCACGGTGGCCACGGTGGTCACGGCGGCTACTAAACCAGTCTCCCAACAAACGCTTGCCGGCTAGATGCAGTTCCGCTGCACTTGCTTTCTGTAAGTCCTACCTCGCTATGAATAGACCTAAACGATTTATTTTTTGTAACCGTTACGAGACAAACAAGCTTGACAAAAACGACATAACTTTAACGGACGGAATAATCTTGGAATACATTATAAGGCTTTAAATTCTCAAATAACAAGTTGCTAATTTCAAGTTTTTTTTGTTTTGTCTTTTAATATGGGTGCTTCCACGACGCCGCGCTTTGTGGCACAGTGTTACCTAGAAATCAATCAAATTCAATGTGTATTTGATGAAGTGAAGAATTTGGTTTCACCGCTCAGAACTCATTTTTGGATGATGTCACGTTTCTGGCACTCCATCATCTAGGAATCGAATTCTCCTTCTAACTGAAAATATTGTAAAAATATCCAGCTTTTACGCGCGAGAGAATGCAAATTATAGTGCACACTGCTTGAACGTATTCAGCGACAAGCGTCTCTTAGCTTGGTGAGGTTGTCACAGAGAGGTTCGTTCTTCATTCCAGGCCCGAAGTCAACGAAGACGGGCGGAAAATCAGCTGCAGCACCTGTGAAGAGTTCTTCAGGATGTTTATTTATTCTGTACATGGAATTATTAAACCTGCAACGTTCAATGCAAACTGAATATGTTTACCTGTCTCAATATATCGGCTCGACACGCGTCGTTTCGCACACGAAACGGGCAACGAGGGCAATGAAGTCAACTGAAAGATGGAATTGCTCAATTTAGAAGCTCATGAGCATAGAATTGGAAATTATATGCCACATATAATCGCGGTAGACTTTTTTTGGCTAAGAAACGAATCAAACGGAATCATTCATTACCATTGTCTGTACGGAGGTTGCAGCTTTTTTTGGTTAAAGTGTAAAGTGTCCAGTTCTTGCCACATGACAAAAATCATGCAGAAAAAAACCCAAAAAACTGAAGGGGCGAGTGATGTCCCTTGGAGCTCCAAGTAATCCCGCGGACAACATGAGCTGCAACGCCCGCCTTTTCCTGCGTCTGCAAACCCCGCAACATTCCCTTATCTCTCGATTTGCCGCAGAGTTCAAGAAAAAGGACCTAAGCTGGCGCTCCACAAGGCGGTTTGCCCAAAGCGTTTTTCTAAAAACCGTCAAGTACGCAAAAAAAAAAAAAGCTGCAGTTAATTTTGTATGCGGTAGTACGTCACATCATATTCAAATACATTTGCCAGTTGGTTAGATATTCCAGTTGCATATATCATCGGAAGAGCAAGATGGCGTCGATATTTATTCATCGAAGGAACTATTAGCATTTTGAAATGAGGCTTGCTGTATTTACCAGAATTGCATAATGACGAATGTCCTTCTGAATGCGGCATCTGATTTGAAGAAAAATAGGGGCCACCGGAAGGTTCCTTATGTATTGGAAAAATGAAATGTGTGCGGATTTATATACCAGAGAAGCAAAGGGTATCCTTAACGGGACAGGATTGGTTCTGTTTTATGTCTTTTTTATCGAATTTGTTGTTCCTTACATTTCTGTCAAAATAATGCTTTTCTCTTCCCAAGCCTGCGCAAAATAAATCATCGTTTTTGAAATTCTGATTTCTGCAATGATAAAAGCACTAAATGGGAGACCAGCATGGAGAGAGTTCCACGTTGGCGTGCCATGTCAATTCCTTGTGGGAATCGCAATAGCGACCATAGGGCAGCCTTTCGGGGCTGCCCATTTAGTTTGCCTCAATCGGTTTTTTGTAGTCAAAGGATGGAGAGAGTGGCATAAGAAGATGCATTGCTTGAGCGAGCTCGTGTACAAACAAGGCATTTTATCGAGACCTTCTCTCGCGCTTGTGCTCTTTGGTGGAGCGGCACACAGCCTATGCGATGAAGCTGAACGGGCCTAGTTGAGCTTCTCAAATCGGTTCTACATGGGCCGTCATACGATAAATAGGGAGCTCGGGTGCCTATAGGCTGACTTCGTTCTCAGAGCTGTTGTGTAGAGCTAGCGAGATGATACATGGCCACACTGTAACCCTGCCTAACGTATCGGGTTGAAAGCGAAAAGTTAATTGTGAACCTTTTTCACATAAAATCATTTTCCTCGTCGAGTACGATAGTTTCTCGCCAAATGTACTACTTGTTAATCCGCCAAACTTTTCCAGTATGTAGGCGAAACTGCGCTTCCCTAAGTAAGAGACATTTTACACCGGCGCTTGCAGCATATTCGTGCATTTGTCGCATTTTTTGTAAAATTGGGACATTTTAAATTTAACCTGAACGATGAGAGGTGGTGAAGACAATTTTCTGTCAACATAACTCGACGTCGCCCGCTATCACCGCAACAGTTGTAACTGGATACAAGGTCGTTATCTCCTACGTTAAATTATTTTTTGTAAGTCAGGAATTACCGTTCGTACGGGCTGTTAACCTGTCGGTTGGTTGGGGCCTCAATTCATCACGTTAATTCATTGCTCATGACACCTCGTTTTATTTTCCACAGACAAATATCGTCTTAAATGCTTACTTAAATGCTGTTCTTTATACTGCATACAATACGTTTATAATAGAAATTGATCAAAAGTTACCGTAATTGTAGCAAACCGTATATACAGACATACAATGCCATTTATTGCCTTTATTGTCATTCGGGAGTGTAGCTTTCGAGAATAACGAACTGTTGCCAAAAGCCGCCAGACGGGGGGTTCCTTTAAAAAAGCTTTGCTCAAAAAAGGGGTTATTGCGGTCACATTTGTTCCCGCATCTGTATAAGCACGTGTGACGTGAGACTTCCGACGCACGCCGACCTTTCGCGAGATGCTTGCTACCGTAAACTTAGCAGTAAAATATGAATATTCAAGGTAAGGAAAAATTACAGCCACCGCGTGTGAAACGCAGCTTACAGCTACTCCGATTGGATCGACCTACATCCAAGGGCTGCAGAACGCCTGGCTGCAGATCGTGCGCGTCGATTGTCGAGCACGGGTACGCTCTTTGAAGGCTCACTTCGACCAAGGTGTCTGTCAACATTATCATAACTTTCCCTCTCGTCTGTCAACGTGAGCCTTCAGCCGCGCTGTGATGATAATTACGGCCAGTTTTACGCTCAGCCGCACTGGATATTTTTTTGTTGTCTTTTGTTTGCCACGGTGTCTACGGCTACTGGCGGTCTCTTGCTCAAAAGAATGGGAACGATAGACGCACGAACTACCCCTACTCTCCGTCTATCATAAGAAAAACCAAGTTAGTCTGTTCCTCTCTTTGGGAGTCCTCAAAATCGTGATTCGTGACTCAAGAGTTTTCATACATAAAGGCTGAAAGAAAAAAACGAGGAAAATATCGTGCCCCTCCACGCTTATTCCGGGTCTGTTCGAAAGCTCCGCCAAGTTCTCGTATACGTTTATATTTTTATTTATTTCGGGAAGTTAATCATATGAAAATGAAACAAATTGATCGACATCTACGGCTGATTTACGGTCACGCCAGGCCTTGCAGCGGTGGGAAAACACAGTTTTTGGAGCTGATACCCTGAGGGAGGTAGTGACTGTCAGCATGAAGTAAAAAGTGCCTTTGTCTCGTGCACAGCCAAGTGGTGAGAACTCGTATAGGTTACGAGCTGCGCTAGCAATGTTTTCACACATATTTTTTTTTTGCATTGTTTATGCCTACGTTCTTACTTGAAGTGCGCAGGGAACAGATTCCAGCACATTTGTACATTTCCAGACGGGCTACATAACACGATAATCGAAACCAGCTCGCCTGCATAACAGCGTTTGGGCAGTATCGGGATACTGACGATAGTATTTGTCTGTATGTTTCTATCGGGGATTTTTGTATGTTTCTATCGAGCAATTTTTGAACACTGCTTGAATATCTGTCCCAGAATACATCCCGGTCTACCTCGGGAGAGACCGCTGGCGGCAGCTGATTAGACCCGTTTACTGCCTAATGTAACTGTCTGGTTAACGTATTTGGTAGTGAACTACCTTCGTGATAAAAAGGACACGAGGTCGAACGCCGGAACGGGCGACTTTTTTTTAGATTTGCACTAGTCGTGGTGGATGCAGTCGGTTAAAAGATTATTCCTGGTATCGCAATACAGTCTGGGATTCGACCTCATCTACGTAAGGGAGGTGGCGGGAGAATAAAATCACAAGCGCAGAAAATATTCCGTGGAGTTAGTCAACTAAAGCATTAACTGTCCCATGGAGCGAGTGACGTCATCTGTTTGAAGCGCGAAAACGGCATCTAGCTTCCCCGATCCCAAAGAAGGGAAGTAAAGCTGATGAATTTCGCCTTCGGTTCCATTGCTGGCGCGCGTCAACGGGGTTCCCATTGACCGCTGCGCTCGTCAGTTTCCACGACCGCTCACCCCATGGCGCTGCGTGTCCACCAGCGCGCCGTTAAGACGTAGCGTCCAAGGTTAGCGTGCCCAGGGGAGCACGCGCGCTGACCGGCGACAAAAAGTACGCAGCAGACGAAAAAGGGAGCCGACGAGCGGCTTGCGTGCTTTCGCAATCACAACTCATAAGAGGTGCTTAGGTGTACCTCGAGCTTTTTTTCTTTTTCGCCTGAATAAAAGTTTGCGTTCAAACGCGGAGAAACTTCATTCGTTAGCTTTTTAAACCATCAAGAAATAACACTACATCATTTTCTTGCCAGAGCCTGTCAAATAAAAGAAAAGAACCGAAATTCGGATGTCGATCCCATGCATTCCGCCGGCCGAATGAATGAAAATGGCGGCCTTCCCCGCTCAGCTGGGAGCAGCCGAGAGTTCACGCACATGCGCTCACGCCTCTCGCTCTGCGCCTCGGGCTGATTAGTTCACTACGGAGGGGGGCGTTAAGGCGGCGAGATCATAGACTGGCCAAACTCAATCTGTATACGGCTCTGCCTGTCCGAGTCAGTTTGCCGACCGGCGTCGTCTGCTAAAGTTCCAGCGGTATGTTGTGAATTTTTACCAAAGCGCTTCAAAATCTTTTTTTTTTTTTTTTTGC